AGTCGACATTCTTAAAACCTTATATATATATATATATATATAGGGCCTATATATATTACGATATTTCTTAATGAAAACTTCTGTCGCTAAAATTTTATTAAAATGAATTAACTAATGATATTTACTATAATGTCAAGCTCAGAAACATTCAAAATTTACATTACGTCAACGTTACTCACCTGACAAGTACGACAGTCGTTGTCATACTAACATCCTGTCGTCAGATGTTACAAACGACATGTCATAACCATTATTTTAGCAAAATGTATACATAACATTACAAGAAAAAAGTTCAAAATATTTCCAAAATATAACTGGATTTTAATTTTCCTAATATTTAATCATTGACAATTGTTCTAGTGTTGTAAAGTTTAAACGCTTTTATTTGATCAAACATCTTGGAGTTAATAGAAGAGATGGAGTGTAAAAGAATTAAACAAGTGCACTGATTGTGTACTCTAAACGATAATAGGCTCGGTATGTGATGATGCAATGTTCTGTCGCTGAGTTTAATGGCGAAGAAGTTGATCCGACGTATAACACTTATCATCAGCACAATGTATATGGTCGAAAGAGTTTTTCCTGTAGACTAAACCTGCTTTTGAACAACTAAAATGTTTTTAATGCCATTTCAAACTTTTTTAGTGTTACAAAAAAAGTTTTAAAACATTTTAGGTTCTTTCAAGAATGAAAATAAAACAAAAATCTTTAAAACAAGTTTTTAAATTTGATAGTCTGTATCAATAGCATATAACATTAAATGCAAATTATTTATGCATTAAATTATATAAAGTGAATTCACAGGCATGTTTGGCATTAAAGTAAACAAACAATTATCGTAATCTTAGCAGAAAAATATTTAATAAGTGTTACTTCATCTATTCTCCTAATTGAAATGCTGAGTTATTGGTTTCTTCTATTCTTTATTTCTATCGATCTTCCAAACTGAATTAATTAATTAATCTCTTAAGTCAAATAATCTTTCAGTAAAACTAATATATAAATGATATATTTAGAACATCTTAAATTATTCTTACTTGATATACACTATATCTTATTCATCCTAAGTTAAAATGAAAATAAAATAAAATGCAATAAAATAAAAAAATATTTGGCTAATATTTTCTCGTCTCTACTTTTAATATGATTTGTTCTAAATGCATAATTCAGTTGGATTTACTTCTGCTTCTTGAAAACTGCTGCAACGAAACACATATATGTTTAATTATTATTAATTTCCTACGTTTTGAATATTTTATTTTCATCAGTTTTAATACTAGCAATGATATCCTTTATAAATTGTTTTATTACGTATAGNGATTTTTTTAAAAAAAAAAACTGCTTAAATATATCTGAAATAGCCTAAAGGAAATTTTTATACTATTTTTTATAGAAAATTTGAAATATATTAGGCCTATAATATTTTAAAAATTCTATTTATGTTCTATTTTATTTTATATTAATGATATTTAATAAACTGCATAAATGAAAAACAGAAAATATTTTTTTATAAAAGCTGTATATCAAATATTTGCTTAATAACATCGTTCATATTTGTGGCAAGTTAAGTTTATGACAAAACACAAAGTAGGACGTCATGAAAATGAAGAAGTTGTCTCTCATATTCTAGCACATCTTTCAGTTATCTCTTGGGGTAAGATAGTATATTTTTACCCACTCCATCGAAATGGTGATATGATATGTCACAATGATGGGTCATTCACCATAAAAGATAGGGTCTTTCAAAAGATATATGACAGTGGCAGCAATTTTTTACGCTTAACGACTCATGACTATTCTTTCAGTTAGATAATTTCGCTTTCTTAACTCGAATAATGTAGTTAAAACTTTTATACTTTCTTCTTTATACATTGGGCATTCAAAAAATCGTTCTGTAGTAAACGTGAATCGTGTAAAAAATTGATCAAGGAACTGAAAATTTGCAAAACTTTTATTATCTTTACTTATCAAACATCCGTGCATATAATCTTTAACGCTTATTCGACATTAAAATATCATGATCACAAACAAAGGATCATACGTGATGGAATTTTAACGCTCACGTTTTAGATTTAACGCTTTATATTATTTTTTGCCATTCTTTACAGATACGGAGATATGGTGCCAGATACCATAACTGGTAAAATAGTCGGAGGTGTTTGTTCATTATCTGGAGTGCTAGTTATCGCCCTTCCAGTTCCTGTCATCGTGTCAAATTTCTCTAGAATATATCATCAGAATCAAAGGGCAGACAAGAGAAAAGCGCAAAAGGTAAGACCTTGGTTAATTTTCCTTCAAGATTACATAACTAATAAAAACATTTAAATCATTATCATCTCTCCTGATTATATCTTTCTAAATTATTCTTTCTAACAATTTTCTACTACGAAATTAAGTGAAACGAATTAACGTAAATGGAAATTTGTTAAATAGTTTAAACGTCTTCCGAGTCGAGTCATTCGATTAAAAAAAAAAAAGGTGAAAAGTCATCAAAGAGAAAGAATGGCAAGAATTTTTTTCCTCTTGTCTCGTTTGAAAGACCATTGTGAAAAACTTAGTTTCTTCACATCACCAACAGATGTCATCCGGTCGCTGCTATATAAATGACTTGTCTCGTATGAAAGAAACCGTTTCTAAACCGAAATGGTGGATGTAGTCGAGTGGCAATTCACTTGTTGATTATTTTCACTCGGAGATAAATCGATTTATTCGTATAATAACGTAAACTTTACACTTTATTTGTGATGTTACTGTAATTAATTATCGTCAAGAGATTAATTTTGTCAATAGTTGACAATTCTCAATTCTTTAGGCCTAATTTAATAACGTTGTCTTTAGCTACACCTTTTTAATACATTTTCAATCATATATATATATATATATTGCTGCATCCGGTATATACTAAAACAAAAAGATGTAATTACGTCGTTTAGCCACTTCAGTTTTTCAAATTTATGAAAATTATAGGAAAATATTTGTACAAAAAATATAATTGACTTATCCGGATAAATTTTAATTAAATAAATTGTTTTTTACATTTTTAATTAAAAAATACATTAATATTTTTACTTATATAATGTTATACTTAAATGCAAATTTAAAACTTCGTTTATATTCATATACAAATTATAATTGTTATTNAAGGTAACCATTCGAATAAAAAAAAATTCCAAATTATATTTTTATTACGTCCATGTAAAAAACTTGCAATAAATCTAAAACTGCGTTTGAAATTTACATATTTAACATGTTTTTCTTCAATATCACGTCATAAAGAACACAAAAAAATAACTTACAAAATGAAAAAATACATAATGTTTCGATTAATATTTATGATTATATTTTGTTTTTTCAATATCAAATTCTATTGCGAATCCAAAATCAATGATAAAGAATTAAAATTTATCACACGAAATAGCCTATAAATTGACACTAATGATAATTGTCTTCGAGATATAGAAGCTAAATCGTTCTATTAAGAGATAACGGTTAATTTCTCGAACGATTATCGATTATTGATTACTTTGATAATTTATGTGACTATGATATTCACTATTTTATGATAAAATTTTATTTAAAAAGTATAACCCGATAGTAATGTTGCTTAGTTTTTTATTTACAATTCGAACCTAAACAAGATCTAGCAATCAAATACACTTTTATTACGTTTAACTTGAAATTTTACAGCAATTTTGTTATTTTATTGATATTTACACAAAATTTTTGCTTTCTTTTATACTGTAGTAATAAATAATTCAAATATTTAATTACTTAAATTTTTAAAATATTTTTTATATTAAACAATAAGTTAAAAACATAATGTAAGTCATATACTATATATTACTGTATAAGTGTATTTCATACACATCTATTCCCGTAAATATACATACAGCTATATATAATATGATATATAAGTAAAATGCTTAGGCCTATATATACACATGTCCTGTACTGTACATAAATACATACATATATATAAAAACATATACAGTACATGCAAGTTTATTTACTTTCCACAAAAAAACAAAACAAATATTTTACTTAATGTATATGTGTAGTAAGTTATAGTCCTTTATTTTTCATTTTTCCCTTCGCTCTTTGAGCACTAAAACAGTTATTTTACAAATTATTCGTTTAAATAATATTAGATTAAATTTACAGAATCGTTCGAATAAAGTTTCAGAAATTTAGCATATTTTTCGAATCGAAATTATGATAACATTTTAAAAAACTTAAACCGAAGGATACTGGTTTAAGTTAAAAGAACGATAAACGATTGATGACAGTTGTAAGAACTGCAAGATCAACCAGGCGAACAAACAAGAAGATAAAAGAGTATCTTCACTGCCCACTTCATGTCTTTTTACAGAGAACTCCATCGTATAACACAATATCTCCTATTTGATACATACCAACTTATTGCATATATATGAGTTAATTTTAAAGATATTGCAAGCTTGATACAAATTTCTACCTTTAAGTGCACTTTTTAAATAAGTTTTATGGTGTCTTTGCGATCGTAATCTTTGAAAGAAGCTGTGATTCTCGACACTCCACATCTTTGATACGTCCAAATTTTCATCACATTTCGTCTTGTACAATCAGCTTACTTTATTGATCAGGAAAATAATGATTTTTTTTATTATTTCTTTGTGTTTTTACTAGCAATTTTTCAGGTCGATAGTGAATAAGATTAAGGCAAGAAAAAAATCGCACTCTTAGAAATTAAGCCGAAAATTTTTGATAACATCAATCCATTTGATAGATAAATACATTTGTTTGATTCATTTGATTTTTTAAAATTTAATTTTGTTGAGAACAATCCGGTTTGTTAATTAAATTTAGCTAAGTCTTAAGCTTTGTGTATGACTAGATATTTAAATCACACTCGCTACATACAAATCACACTACAGTGAGAAAAAAATGCACCTCGGATATCAGAACAATCAAGAAAGGATAATAGAGGCTTGTTCTTGTGTAGTTTACGCAAAGTCACTTTTACATCTCAAGAATTTTAGAGTAGCATCTTCAACTTCTTACAGCAATAGCAGATGATCCAACAGACACTCGGGTGACTAGNTTTTCCTAATTATATATATATATATATATGTTTAGATCATTATAAAGATGAATAATTTAATACTTTAGTCGAGGTTGATAGACGGACGTATATTTTCAATAAATTAATATTCATTTATAGAAAGCGAGAATGGCGAGAATTCGAATTGCAAAAGCTACAAGTGGAGCTGCTTTTGTTAGCAAGAAAAAAGCAACAGAAGCCAGATTGGCAGCTCAAGAGAGAGGTCTGGAAGTGGAAGAATTACAGGAAGATATCTTTGAATTACAGCATCACCATCTGTTGCAGTGCCTGGAAAAGACAACGGTAAGTAACTTTTCAATCTAAAATAAATAGTTAATCCTACTTTAATCTCGAAATTTTAATCCTTAGAATTATTTAAGATTTACTTAAAGAATTATGCAAGTTATCGTTATTTAATATAATTTATAATCAATGTCTTTAACGTAAACTGATACGTTGATATTTCACCAATTAATGTAGGCTATATTTTACGAAAAAACCAAAGAAAAACTGAAGAATTCGGTGAATAAATTTGTAAATAATTAGAATATTTGTATATTTTTTTTTAAATTTCAGTGTTTAGCACTTCNTCGTTAAATATTAGCATCTTTAAAAAGAGTCAAAGAAATGTGAATAAATAAAAATTTGTTTACGCGTTTAATTACCAAACATTAAAAAATAATATAAAATAATTAGCAAATTTATTTTTTATGTTTAATATATATATTGATATATATATCTGGAAAATTTCCAATTTTAGATTAAGAATATTTTATATTTTAGAAGCTGAACTAATTTATTTAGAATATCCGTATTGAAATTGTTATTGAAAAATTACACACAGGATATTGAGTCGTTTGAACGTAATTATGCGTGACCATCACAAATTAAACAAAGAAAAATAATTTTGAAAAGAAGCACGAGATTATTATTATTATATATATATATATATTTTAAGTGAAATCCTTTATCTATTTATAAAATTGACGCCATTACTAAATATGCTATTAGAATGGATTTTACAGCAAATCAACATGAGTGGCAAACAGACTTGTTTTATTTTGTTGCTATTTCGGTACATTGACTGAACATGGCTGTCACCGCATGCCCGGTACGGCCGACGGTTGCCTAGCAACCCACGCGCTCCGGCTATTTTTAGAAATCCGGACCTCAGTAAGAGGAAATGTGGACGGAAGAGAAAGAAAATCGATCAAGTTTCTGAATAATTCCATATTATTTAGATAAAACACAATTAATGAAAGATGAAATTTAAAAGGTCCAAAAAAAAATTATATTTTGACGCAAAATTGGTAAAATAATAATTTATTTGTGAAAAAACACGAGGTTGTATGTAGATTCTTCTTAATTAGAGAAATGTTCGTGATTTGTATTTTTATCAGAATAATAAATAATAAACTGAAAACATCGTTTAGAAATTCGTAAAATTAAAGAAAGAAACGTCGTCATCGTGTTATAACATTAATTTATCGAATATTCTGATGAAAATCTAATTATATCTCGTAATTGTTTTCCCTCCTTTATGGAACCTTTTCTTAGAGACAAAAAATGTATGATGCCTTGCAAGTGACATAATTAATTTTGATAGCTTAATACAGCAAAAATGATGTTTTCTCGACATTGTACAAGTAAAACAGTAGCGAGACAACCTTTTCGCTCATTTCTGTCGTCGTAATTCGACCGAATAATAGTATTATCTGAAAGATGCAGGTTGAAACACCCTTCTTAAATTGAAAAAAGACAAACATCGCAACAAGAAAATGGCAGGAATAACAGAAAATGTCCTCTTAAACTTCCTTTTTTGGAAAAAAATAGTATCTTCTCGAATTTTGCCGAATCTAGATAAAAATAATTGATAGGCTTTAGACATAAAAAATTCGAATTTCGGAATTCCCACATTGCTACAACTTTAAACATTTTCTTCTTCTATTTTATTTCAAACTTTCACTGATATTGTACGAACAGTTTTTGTCTACCGCTACACAATTGTGTAGTTAAACATAAAAAAGAAAAAGGAAACCTAAATAAAATTTCTTAACTAAATTTGTTTTTCAATAAAATATAGATGTGTGCAGATATATCTGCCATTATTGTGTCCGGAAGATGAATTGCTCTATAAAATATTTATACTGGGGTGACCGAGCAGAATGTAACAAATTATTTTTCGAATAAGTATCTTTCTATTCTCTTCGGAAATTCGATGATGCACGTAAAAATTTTAATATTAAATTATAATTATACATTGAGATATTAATCAAATCAGAATGCATAATTATAAATATAATTTCTGTAAAATATTGCTCTGAATATAGCCAGAAAGCATTCTGTGCAATTATTAATGAATTCATTCACGATTCGACCACGTGGAAAACTGAAGAATCTTGTAACCGTAGTTATTATTATATCCATTTATGATATGCACTGCTGTATAACTACAGATTTAAATTCTATAACAAAAGAATTAATAACGTGTTTGTTAATTTAAAAAATAATCGTAAAATTTAAACATGTGTAAATAAAAATTGAAAGTCAGACATTCGACTGATTCAATTTATTTATTTTTAATCAAAAAGAACCTAAGTTGTCTGAAGTTTTAGAAATTTTTAATAATTCAATTTACATGCATTTTCCCCTTTAAAAGCATGTTAATCAAGAATATTTTATATATTATTTGAGAAAAGTTCTATAAAATCTGTCACTATGACTTACCAATAATACAGCAGCATTAACATGAGTTTTAAGAGTCACTTGAAAATTATCTTTTATGGTCACATTTTTTGAAAAATTAGTGTTTTCATTTTTAATTTTATTTTAAATTATAATAATTATATATTTCATATGTTATTTCGAAATGTTTCATCAAAATTTTCATGTATTTCATAAGTGAAGAAGAATTTACTGTAAATATTTTTATGCTGTTCTGAAACTACAGTATAGATAATGTATACAATTTATATACTTTATTTACATTTAAATGTATTAAAGTATTTCTAAATTTATAAAATTTAATGACGAAAATTAGATCGATCTTAAAATTTAATGTATTATCTTACGAAGTAAATGGCATGTTTTAGTGAATTCAGACATCTTTATTGCGAGAAACATTCCGATTTTAAATAAGAGCTTTAATAAATCGTAACACATTTCTAAATATTTAACATTTGATAAATAAAATTATAAAACATTCTTATTGTAATTTTCTAATTAAATTTAGAAATTGAAAATGTAATCCCTTACAACGAAGGAATACAACGAAGGAATACAACGTGTTCAACTAACTACTTTCTAATGATTTCTAAATACTAAAACAGTATAAAATTCGTAAAATTTATTTTTAGTACTGAATTTCGGATAGAGTGCTTATACAGTGAACTTAACCTACTTTAGAAAACATGTCGTACCACTTACCCTCGAAATACAATTAATTCTATTAAGGATAGCTGGTGTACAGCGTTTATTGTGTTATACGTAATATAATAAATGCGCGACTTTCAACACTTTATTACAAGAATATATCGACGTATCGAAATAAAACATATCAAATTTTATACACAATTCTCTAAAGAACATTAAAAAAAGTAAACTGACTACACAATAAAATATAATATAATATATAAATATTATTTATAATATGCGTAAACCGATTTACGGTATATGCATATAGATATTTAATATTAAATATAACTTAAATTGTAAGACTCCCATAATTAAGATTGCTTAATATGCAATTTCAAACGTAAGATAATTCTGCCATCAGCAAGTTATTAGTGAAATTGTTTTATCGAAAGCAAAAATCAACGTTTGCGTTTAGAATTTTAGTAACAGTCCAAGATTCGATGATAAAAATGGTGGAGTAGAAAGATTTAAGAAATGAATAGACTATGACTTTAATTAAATCTGAAATTAACATAAAGTATTGCACACTATTTTACATTTTACATACGAAAGGTTACGTTATTTCTATACATATTCGTGTGCTGTAACTCTTCTCCACTAATCTATTTCAATTATAATCATTTGCATTACAAGGAGCTGCATTGCAATGATTTTAATTAAGATGAAAGCTTGTAGCTGGAACATTTTATGGACAGCAATTTTCACTTGCATAGTGATGTTACTATCAACGACTTCTCAATTTACGTAAATAAAAATGTCATAAGTTACAGGAGTTTCATTGCCGTTATCCAAAATGATGGTTTTATATCTTAGCTTTTTTCCTTTTGAAGATCTCTATAAATTTCTTTTTATATTCCGTTAAAGACGAATGTACGACTTTAAGTAACTCCATCACTTAAGTTCTTCAGAAACATGAATACCGATACAATACTCGTGAGCAATTTAAGATTTGAAAGTGTTCTTACAAATATGTATTAAGAAAAAATTGCTGCATTAATGTATTTTAAAAAAATGAGCATAGCAACAATTCGTGTGAAGAATTATTACATATTTTGAATAAGAAGGAAAATATCATGTAGCAGATTTTAAGACTGATTTCCTCCATAGATATTTACTATACGTAATTTTCTAGCGAATCTGGCAAATACTTTTTTCCAGCATGTAAAATACATTCATTTCTGTTATTTTTAAAATATTTTTATCGTTTTCTTTTCTATTACAAACTTTTCGATTTTGGATATTCCAAAAATGAGTATTTATCAAAATACTTTTTTGGAACATTATTTAGAATAAATCGTCGTCTTCAATCGTCGTCTAAATACCTAATTTACCTTATTATCATTTGGAACATTATTTAGAATAAATAATGTCCCAAATGATAATAAAATTTATCATTTATATTAGATACTTTTTAGAGAACAATGTTGAGGAAGCATGAATTAGGTATTTAGACGACAATTGAAGATGATATCGTGAAAGTATCTTAAAAATTAAAACAATTGATTATTTCACCTGTTCAGATTTTCTATAACATTGCTTTATGTTTCATTTATAAATTTATTTCAATATTTTTTTTATTTATATTATTATTTATTTATTTATTATTTCATTATTATTTATATTATTAATTTATTTTTAAAATGTTTTCTGTTTAATGTATTTACTTAAAATCATTTTGCAATTAGAGAAAGTGTATGTTTTGCATCAATTTTCTCCTCATTGTTAATTTAATTTTCTGCATTATAATTCTATTATAAGTTGTTTACTATTTATAAGTCAAGTTTATTTCTATCATATTTTTCTGAAAAACTTCAAATGTGTTGTTTTATATTGTATAAAATATGCTTAGGAATTATTTTCTTGGAGCATTAAGATCTCTTTAAATGACT